ACCCCCCCCCCCCCCCCTGAGACCCTCACCACCCCACTTCCCACCTTGGCTCGGTCCCAGCAATGGCCCCAGCTGGGGGCTCCTTGGAAGACACCCGTGAGGCCTGCGTCCTGCCCCCTCCTGCCGGGACCGTCTGTGCTTCCTGCTGATTGACCCCTTGGCCGGGCCCACGGGCCACTGAGTGGGCTCGCTCTCCCGCCGGCCACCCCAGCCCCTGGACGGGCTGCGGGGCGGCAGGTGCACTCGCTGTTCCTCTGCACGCTTGGCGGCCCGCCCACCCCTGCCCTTTCTGGGTGCCCCTCCTTCCTGGCTGCTGCAGCCCAGGGCCTGCCGGCCAGGTCTGGCCCGGCGCACACAGGCCTCCGCCCTCCCATGCCGGCCACTGGCGCTCAGAGCGCATTTGCTGGGCTGATGACGGACGCCCCCAGCCCCCACCCTCTGCGGCCCCATGCCCTCCCCTGCTTCTCCCCATTCCGGGACTGTGGCCGGAGGAGTCCTGGTTCCTGCCTTCTGCTCCCTTCCCAGCTGTGCCGGAGCCCAGCCATGCAGCCCCCGGGGTGAAGGGCGGGACCTGGCAGGAAGGGAGGTGGGCCCTCGGGATGGCCAGGCACACCCAGGGTCACGCTGCACTCAGCGTCTGAGACCCCCACACTGAGCACCCTAGAGTGAACGCCACCTGGCCAGGGCCTGACCCGGGAGGGGTGGGGCTGGGACCAGGAGGAGGGAGGGAGAGGCCCAGAGCACAGAGGCCCGGGCACTTGGTGGGTGGACAGAGGACGTGGCGGCCTGGTGCCTGTGGGCGGCCAGAGGGCCTTCCCTTCTGCAGGCCCCGGGCAAGGGGTCTGCGGGAGGTCCAGGGCGTTGATCCTGCCTGGTGAGGCAGGCGAGGGGGCAGGGAGAGGGTGGCCGGGCCCGAAGGCCCCACACTCGGCCCCTCCAGACTCCTCACGGCAGCCACAGGAGGGGAGACGTTGGCCCCACGTTCACATTCTGGGAAACCGAGGCGAGCCGGTGCACGGTCTCCGGGGGCTGTGGCTTGAAGGCCCGGGAAGCTCCCTGCCCGTCCCCCCAGGGCAGGGAGGGCGTGTGTTCCTCACCCTCAACTCAGAGACCCCTGGGAGGATGAGGGCTTGCTGGGCTCTGAGCACATGCCTGTTGGCCACGGAAGAGCTTGTGCCTGAGGGACCCAGCCCCCGCTCCAGCCATGCGTCCCCCCAGCCGCTGTGCCCAGTTCTCGGAAGGCAGGTGGGACCGGGCAGGAGCGTGTCCTGGCCCCCCTGGGGACAGCTCCCAGGCTACTGGAGAGACCTAGGCCCTGGCAGCTGGGGGGATCATGGGGCTGAGGAGGCCGCCTCTCCCGCCTCCAGTCAGCGAGGCGCGACGACTGCAGACACCCCACGCAGGGGGCTGGGGACCCCACTCACCAGCACTGAGCAGGGCTCCCCCCCAGGACAGCAGCAGCAGCCAGGGCCCCAGCATGGCGCACGCGTGGGGAAGGTCACGGCAGGACTGGCGCCCCGCCGTGGCACCTGCGGTCTCACCGGGCCACCTGTGCACTTGGGCAGCTGGCCCCCGTGCCCTATATAGGGTGGTGGCCCTGCCCCCGGCTTGCCCGCCTGCGCCCGTGGCTCAGCCTGTAATCACCTGCCGGCAGGCGCAGCGGTGGCCAAACAGGATCTCGGGCTTGCTTTATCAGGACACAGCCTGCTTGGAAAATCCTGCAGCCCATTAGCACCCACCCCCAGCAGGGGCCTGACGGGCACCCCAAGGGTCCCACGAACAGCTCTGTCCTGCCCCAGGCCCTCCCCACTGTTGGGCCAGCGTGGGTACCACCAGCCACCTGCCTGGGTGGCCAGACAAGGTGGGCGGCCTGGGGCACTGGGACTCCTCTTCGGGGAACCCCACCCTCACCGGCATCCCGGGACCCCCAAAGGCTCCACCCCTTCACCCTGGGAGGGAGGGAAGACCCCTTGGGGGGCTGCCGGAGGGAGGGGGAGCAGGTGCACGTGGGCCCCTGGAGGCTGGAGGGGTGCCTTGAGCTGTCCCCATGTCCCTGTCCTCCTGGGGCTGCAGGCTGGCAGCTGGCTCCGGGCCCCTCAGCCTGGCCTCTCGGGAGAGGAGGGGGAGCGACGCGACACACCGCAGGAGAGCAGCCCCAGTGATTGTGTCCTGTCCCCCCCACTCCAAGCGGCTGTGGGCTGCCTGTCTGGGGTGCAGGGGCCCTCGGGGCTCCCCTTCTCTGGGACCTGTGGGCTCACCTGGCCCCGTCGGCCCACAGGAGAGGACAGGGCTTCCGTGGAGTGATGCTGCGAGGTGGGCAGGGGGGCGCTGTCTGTGGCGGAGCATGTGTACGTGCGCCAAGGGTCAGGCCCGGGTTGTGGGTCAGAGTGAGGGCCAAGGTCAGGGCCAGGGCCAAGGTGAGGGTCAGGGTCAAGATGTAGCTCTGAGTGAGGGTCAAGGTCAGGGTCAGGGCTAGGGTCAGGATCAGGATGTAGGTCAGAGTGAGGGTCAAGGTCAGGGTCACAGGACCAGGGTGATAGGGCCAGGGCCAGGGCCAGGGCCAAGGTGAGGGTCAGGGTCAGGATGTAGGTCAGAGTGAGGGTCAAAGTCAGGGTCAGGATCAGGTTGTAGGTCAGCGTGATGTCAAGGTCAGGGTCGTGACCAGGGTGAGGGTCAGGGTCAGGATGTAGGTCAGAGTGAGGGTCAAAGTCAGGGTCAGGATCAGGTTGTAGGTCAGCGTGATGTCAAGGTCAGGGTCGTGACCAGGGTGAGGGTTATGGTCAGGATGTAGGTCAGGGTGAGGGTCAGGTCATGGCTAGTTGGTGGACAGTTGCGTCTGCCTCCCTCCCCTCCTCTTGCAGCTGGGGAGGGCGGCGGGAGTCTGACCAGTTGCCAGGATTGCCCAGCCCTGTTTGGGAGCTAGGGGCCTGGGCACAGGGGGCGTCCCTCTCCTGCAGGGAACTCCAGCACACTCACATAGCCCAGATGGGGGTCCCTCTCCTGCAGGAGCCCTGGGCCAGCTCGCCTGCTCCCCACAGACGTGGCTCTGGTCCTCCCACCTGACCCCAAGCCCGAGGCTCTCCCCTGGGCTCGGCTGCCCAGATGGAGCTGCGCCCTGTCTCACAGACAAGCTGAGCCCTGCTGGCGAGGACCTGGGCCTTGTCCCCTCTGCCTCTCCGCCCCTGTCCTACACGCCCCAGGGCCGCCCACCAGCCGCTGGGAGAGGACCTCACAGGCACGGTGACGCTTGAAGCAGATGCCGTGTTTTACCTCAAATCAATTTTAGTTTTAATATATATAGTTTTTTGAGTTGGAGTCCCACTCTGTCGCCCAGGCTAGAGTGCAGGGACACACTCATGGCCATCCCAGCCTCGACCTGCTGGGCTCCCATGGTCCTTCCACCTCAGCCTTCCAAGTAGCTGGAACTACAGGCGCACGCTACTATGCCTGGCTCATTTTGATTTATTGTAGAGATGAGGTCTCACCAAGTTGCCCGGGCTGGTTTCAAACCTGTGGGCTCAGGCAGTCTACTTGCCTTGGCCTCCCAAAGTGCTGGGATTACAGGCTGAGCCACCGAGCCCAGTCACTCATTTCTATTTTAAAATTTAAGAAAAACAAACAGTCTGTTAGAAAATATAAGAAGAGTGCCTGTAGTTCCAGTTACTTGGAAGGCTGAGGCAGAAGGATCGCGGAGCCCAGCAGGTCGAGGCTGCGGTGGCCAGGGCGACAGAGTGAGACTCCAACTCGAAAAAAAAGAAAAGGAAAAAAATTTTTTTTTAGTCAGAGTCTCACTGTTGCCCAGGCTGGAGTGCAGGGGCATGCTCACCGCAGCCTCGACCTGCTGGTCTCAGGCAACCCTTCTGCTTCAGCCTTCCAAGTTGCTGGAACCACAGGTGCGTGCCACCATGCCCATCTAATTTAAAAAAAAAAAAATTATTGTGGAGGTGAATTCTTCCCATGTTGCCCAGGCTGGTCTTGAACCTGTGGATTCAGGCAGTCCTCTCACCTCACCCACCCAAAGTGCTGGAATTATAGGCATGAACCACCACACCTGACCAGTATAAAAATTTTTAAAGCTTTAAAATTGCTTTAATAGACAATAGCTACAGGTGCTGCCAACCCCAAGCCCAGGTGGATGTCACCTGGACACTCTGGTTGCCTCTGGGTCCCCAACCATCTCTTCTTAACGTGCTCAGTGGCCCCCATTGTTTGGGTGAGAAACTGAGGCACAGGAATGGATCCCTCTCCCAGTCATCCCAAGAGGCTACTGTGGACCCAGGGCTTGGGCTGGCCCTCACGCCCAGCTGTGACAGCCCCTCAGCCCGGCACGGGGAGGGGCAGAGATCTTGGGCCTCTCCCTGGGTGGGCCCACTGCACCAGGGCAACCAGCGCTGAAAGGGGCCTTACCCCTCTGGGCGGTGGGCTGGTTGCCTTGGCTGGGTCAGCCAGTGGCCGGGCTTATCTGACTGTCCAGGCTTCACCGTGGGGCTGCTGTGGGGTTCTCCCTGCCCTCTGAGGGCTTGGGTTCTCACGAGAGGTCCCGCGGAGCCCTGGGAATCGGGCAGGGGCAGGGTGGGGTGGGGCTGGTGGACACTGCAGCGGGACTCCGGGTCCCTGGCCAACAAGGCCTCAACTTCCCAGCTGTGAAGTGGCAGAGACTCCCCAGGTGAAGAGCCGCGGCGACCGAGGTGCTCAGCTCATGGGCCCCATGTCACCCCGAAACTGGGGACCCTACCCCGTGGGATGCAGGTGTGGCCCGGGTGGGGACTGGATGCTACCAGCTTGCAGTGGGGCTGCCCACAGGGCCTGTGCTGAAGAAGCCTGTTGTGTGCAGGTATGCGTGCAGGTGTATGCATGCATGTGTGTGCACGCGTGTCTATGTTGTGTGTGCCCGTGTGCATTGTGGGTGCATGTGTGCGTGCGTGTGTGTGTGTGGGGTTTGAACTTCTGGAGGAGGCTGTGCGTGGTAGGATCTGTCCTCCCTGTGGCCTCGGGGCTGTTCAGGGCTGTGTGTGCCTGGGGTTACTGGAAGGCTCTGGTCTTGTGGCACGGCTCGTGTCGTGGTGGGGGCTCCCTCCTGGCAGGTGGGGGCTCCACGGGCTGGGGGCTACCACCCCTCCTTCCCCATGCACTCGTGTGGCAGGGAATGGCTGGAGAAGGGCGCTTTTGTCCGCTACCTAGGAGCTCATGAAGAACACCGACAGGGAGATAAGAGTGTGTGCGGCTGTTGTTCCCGGAGCAATCTCGGCGATAAGAGCACGTTCTGCTGGCTGGCCTCGGAAACCGAGCCCGAGGCTGGACAAGCGGGCAATTGTCCTCTCTCATGCCCAGCTCGGACCCCTGCCTTCTACATCTGTCCGTGTGGCCAGGCCCTGGACAGCAGTCACCCTGGGGCCCAGCCTGGCTCCGAGGCCGGGAGCCAGAGGGGTCCTGAGGTCCTCAGGCTGCCCCTGGGGAGGAGACTCGGGCTGCAGCCTCCTGGCTGAACTGTGCAGGTGGGCGATGCCCCCAGGCCAGCAGCCTTTCACTGGGGCTGGGGTCTGGGTGAGGACCCCTGACCGGTGCCTCCAGAAGGCTCCAGAACAGGCTCGTGGCCCAGCTCCCATCATGGGCAAGGCGTCCCAAGACCCTGGGTCTGTTGAGGTCTTGTTCACAGAGGTCCAGCGTGGCCCTGCTGTGACCCCGCCACCCCTTGGCCAGCCTCCTGTGGTCCCTGCCCACCGGGCCCCTCGGTGGGTGTGACGTCCCAGGGGAGAGCAGGTGGGGCTGCACCCCCAGGGCTTGGCAGCGGGTCACCATGGGATCAAAGGACTGAGAGCTGTGGCTTTGGGGGGTGTGGGAGAAGATTTTGACACCGGGAGCGGGCATTCACAGGGCCTGGGCTGCTGCCATCTCCCGTCATGGGGTGGGCGGGCCCGGGGTGGGCCCAGGAGCCCACGATGACCGGCCACGCTCGGGCACATGGCCGAGGGGGTGTCACAGCTCGCGTTGACCCAGGCTGTCTCAGGAGGGGCTGAGAGCTGGCCTGGGCTGACCCTTTGCTGGGACCCAGAGCCCATTGCTTTGGGAGGTGTGGCAGGACCCACAGGACCCTGGGCACAGAGTCGCCGGAGCCAAGGTCCCTCCTGGGACCGGGTGGAAGGGTGGGGCGTCAGGACGTTGAGGGAGGGCCACCCACCCTCGCAGGGCCCTCCCTTCTCTCCCCGGCCCCGACTGTCACGGATGACCCATCTGTCCCAGGTCCTGCTGATTTGACCTTCTGAGCAAGTCGTGGACCTGCCGTTCCGGCCCCCTCCCATCTGGGACCTGTGGGCACCCCGGTCCTTCCCCAGAGCCATGGCTCATCCTGTCTTCCACACTCCCCCAGCACCCAGGGGGAGCTTCTGTTTCTCCACCGGCCCTTGCTGACCTCACCTCCCAGGCCGCCATGTTGACCCCGCCGGAGGGAACAGGGGAGCCAGCGTGGGCCACAGGCAGCA